TCCACCACCGCTGCTGCTGCTGCTGCTTTCTTCTTGGATGGAGCTGGTGCAGCCTGTTGGGCTACTGGTGAAGAACAACGGTAAAAGCGCAAAAGAGTCTTCAAGATGATTAATGCCACTCCCAGTCCAGTTTACTGTCAAACAAAACAAAAAACAAAAACAAAAAAAAAAACAACGAGAAAAACAAACTGTGTATTTCAAATAACCACATAATTATGTCCTACTTCATCGGGAAAAAAAAAACAATGGCATTTTTATACATTAGAAGAGGGAAAGATGGTTTGAGATGAGTGTTCTGAGTTTCTAAGTGTGATTCTTTATTGGGCGGGTCGTGAACTGGGGACACCCTGGTTGTGTACGTACAGGTGTGAGGGTCCACCGATTTCAGTTTGAGGTTCTTGGCGTGGATCTTGCCCTGGTAGTGAGACTGTGCCATCACGGGGGACGTGAAGGTCATCTTGCACATTTTGCAAGCCTTCATCGGGTCTGACTCACCATTGTTGGTGTCGTGCTGAAAGACAAACACAAACACTCAGTGAAGTGAGCCTTTTCCAAATGCAAATAGACCAAGGAGAGGAAGAAGGCAGGGCGCAGTCTGGCGACTCGTCAGGCATTTCTGCAATTCGCTACTCCCCCGGTAGTTCAGTTATTCGCATGTAAAGTTTCCCATTTGGAATAGATCCAAAACTTTTCACATTCGGCAGAAAATTTGAGGTAATTTTCCAACCGCTGGCTACCCTTGTCTCACCTGCATGACAAATAGGTACGTGTAAAAACAACCACAAAAAAAGAGAGCGACTTCGCTTACGCTGACAGAGGATAGGGACTTGAACTTTTTTGTCTCTGGCTCATTCTCACTTTGGATGGAAAGGTAACGTCGCACCTTGTTGCCGTGTTTCTTACTCTAAAAGAGAGCGAAAATACGAACACATGTTAAACGACCCCACCGGTGATCCATGACGACAAATGCTCGCCGCTCAAAAACAGGACGCCGACCTGATAGTGAGCCAGCTTCTGCGACTCTGAGATGAGGACGGCATTGCAGACGCTGCACAGGCTGTCTGTGAACAGGTTGCCGTGCTCCTTGATCATCTGATTGACTGCGGCGGGGAGAACAAACGAAAGACAGTTTCAAAGAAGACAATGCCTGAGAATTCAATATTCGCATCAAGGAAACAAAGTCAAATGATTTTCATTTAATAATCAGTTGTGTTGCATTCTATTTTAGGGCAATCATCGAAATGTACAAGTGAAGGGGTACTAAACTGTGTAGAGTGTAATAATAGTGTGACAAAAAGGTTTGGAGGTAGACGAGCCAAAAAAAAAATAAGGTTGACAACCAAACTAGTTTTGATGACCAGGTGGTTTGAATTTGTTCGTAAACTGATTCGATCATCCAGTTTTCTTGCAAATCAAATAATCTTTTCGATTTTACACAGATGCCTTGGTCAACCCCACACAATCCCGAAAAGCACCCGTTTTAGCTTGACCAAAGCCTCCAAATCACCCTCAAGGGTGACTGTGAGTGTCTAGGTCAAGGGTGACAATAATACAGCAAATGAATGGAGGTTAATTGCAGGGAGCCTTTTTAGCAACGAGCGAGCGGAATTCAACGTGCGGTGGGGGGGAAACCGCGTAGTCGGCCCACAAGTCGCTCGTCAACGGGGCCAAACGCAAAAAAAAAAAAAAAAACGCCAGCGAAAGCGAGCGAGCGCCGAAGCACCGCCGTTCAAGGCCATTCGCCGTCATTGGGCGAAAGCGGCGCAGCGTGACGAGCTCGCCGCGACCTTGACGACGAGTCGGCTGCGGTTAGCTTAGCTTATCGTAGCTCAGGTCAACTCAGATCAGACAGTCGAGCATAGCATCGTATAGCTTAAGTTAGCTTTATTCATCCGGACTTCGGCAACAAACGACGCGCGGTCGTGAGCCAACAAAATTTTTTTGGGGGGGGGGGTTGTTTAATCTTCAATAAGAAAGTGGTCACCTTGGTCTGGCCCCGACGGCAAGTAAGGGAATTGATCAGTGTCCATCGCGACCGCCATCATAACTTGAGCTCGAGGTTCGAGCAACACTTTAACGCCAGTGCGCGCAAGTGCGCGTGCGCAGAAGCTGGCTTGGCAGCGCAGTGGAAAGCTCGAAGAGGAGCGGAATTTGGCAGGCGCCTGACTTTTTTTGTTTGTTTTGTTTTGGGGGCTTTTTGGAGCCATGAGCAATGTAAAAAAAAAAAACATGCAGAAAAAATGAATAACGATATTGTGTACAATTTAAACAAATTCACAAAACACATGCCATTGAGGTTACAAAGGATATAAAACGTAAATAAAACAATTTACTAACTTAGGACCAAATGCAAAGGTATGAAGCATACATATTTGGAAATGAAGCCGATAGAAAATTGACAGAAGTGAACCAATTTCACTTATCGTCAATGGACTCCACAGCTTCTTGTTTCTTTGTTGCACGTTTTGAGCATGATGCCTGTGATCATCTATTTGGTGCAAGGAGACTTTGATATTCTCCTCTTTTATCTGCTTCAAGCTACAAGGCGCAAGCAGGAATAGCTGTTACGATTGTATGACTGTCCATGATTTATGTCACGTGTTCTGTTATATTATTTTGTTATTTTGTGTTAACTGTTCTGTAAAGCGCTTTGCTACAGCTGCAGCTGTTGTACAAGCGCTATATAAATAAAGATGCATTTAATGTGCGTATGTGTTTTTGTGAGTGTTGTTAGTCTGAAAAATAACAACTCGCACCCTTGCGCATGCAGGTAAACATTTGACCTGTAAGTGTCGCTGTCGTCACACTTAGCTGTGATGAATGGAAATTCAACCCCTTCGCTTTCATTGCTGTTTGACAATGCAATTGACGATAGCAAACGTCCTACACAGCAAATAACCGGCATCGGTATGTCTTCAAACCAATCATAAAATTATATTTGTTTTTGACAAATGCATATATTGTCGGTGCGTAGCTCAGTTTCCGTGGTGTAGTGGTTATCACGTTCGCCTAACACGCGAAAGGTCCCCGGTTCGAGACCGGGCGGAAACAGTCCTTTTAAAATCTTTCAATTTACTAGGTAAGTTCAAAAACTACTATTTCTAACGCGAAAATTAAAACATTTTATTTAGACGACCTCAATGCCCACGGAGTGAAAAAAAAAAAAAACACTGCAAAACGTACCACTTATGTCATCAACCTTTCAATGCGTGTTGATGGGCAAAGTGGACACATTGGAATCTTATCTGTAAGCCTTTTATTTAGCAGGATTAGATTATTTTCTATTTTAACTCTTACAGGAATAAATGGGTCATTGTCTTACTCTGACTAGTTTTTCATTTGTTTGCTTTTTACCATAGATATAATGTATTAAAAATGTTCTGCAATTAGCTCATTTACAGTGCTCTAATGCTAGCACTGGTATTTTGAAGTTATACTTCTTCCCGAGTGAACCTAAAATGTTTTCTTGCTCCATTCATTAATGGGCTATACTATCGAGGGTAGGAAAGAAGAGACGAAAGTGACAAAAAAAATTAATCAACTGACATCATACAGCAGTACAACTTTTTGTACAATACCACTGAATGAAATTATGGTAAATGTAATGAAATCCAATCATGTACCTTCTCTTTGATGAAGCAAGTGATTTTTAATACAGCATTCAAAATACATTTAACATTCATTCAACTGGAATGCCACCTGTGGATATATTGTACAGTACAATCATACATTCAATAAGCAGACACGTCAAATTAGACGACAGAGCACTATGAGAGCTCCACTTCGAGGGGAGGGATGGAAGGAAACGTGGCGTACATCTGTCCTTTGGAGGACACCATCAGGGCTTCTCCGTTCTTGGTCTCATCCGTCACCAGCTCCAGAAGGCACTCTGCCACAACGGACGTCCTGAAAATGAATAGTGGCACTTGAGAAGTGACGCTTAAAAAAGACCATGGATCTTCGCCCTACCAAGCTGCCAAGTCATGAAGTGAGGTAAATTGGTCAAACTGTTACAACAAAATTCAAAACGGCCTTTTTTCCCCCCCCAAATACAACAACAACCCACTCCAGTAACTTACTTGATCACCCCATGCTTGTCTAGGAGTTGTCGGGTGGGCTGCTCCAGCACGGTGAATTGTCCCAGTTTTTCTGTTAAACTGGCGAGCAGCTCAGTTTCCACCAAAGCTGGACAAAGGGCGTTAAAGCGAATGCCGTAGCCCGCCATGGTGGAAGCAATCTAGTACATACACACGAAAAAAAAATTACACATTGGTTGTACAGCGTTGCATGTCGCTGATAGAAGCTCACCGCCATGGCTCTGGCAAAGCCGATCACGGCACTCTTGGTGGCGCTGTAGACCGGGCAGCTCGGTAGTGGTTTGATACCTGCGATAGAGAGCAACACATTCTACTACAGTTTGCTTAAAGATGTCAGGAAAATGCCTATGAGTGCATAGTCTTCAGTGGGGTCAATTGAACCAAACCTAACATGTGCATTAGACTTCTTCCAAGAAATAATCTCCATAAAAAAAAAAAAATAAAGTCAAGTGGAGACCTTCACCTGCTATTGATGCAGTGTTGACAATGACACCTCCTCGACCGCCATTCAACTTGCTCATGTGCTCTAGGGCAGCGTAAGTCCCCTTAATGACGCCCACCTATGACAATAAAGCCATAGAAGGCAACAGCAGTTTATTGCATATGAGGAGTGAGGACGTAAAACTTTTTTTTTTTTTTTTTTTTAAGATTCGAAAAAAGCGAAGAAGCTTGACACAACATGCTGGCTCTTATGTACAAGACATAAAATCTAGCAGATGTGTCTCATGAACATGTTCTTACAAGGTTGATGCCCACTGTTCGCTCCCAATCTTTCTCGTTCAGGATTCCGGCATTGTTGCACAGAATGTCGATGCCTCCGAAGGTCTCGGCGGTCGTCTTGAAGGCAGCTTGGCCGTGGGTGGAAGGAGAAAAACAATTACATAGTCTGGACAGGCCAAGTCAATCCCCAGACTGAGACCCTACGGAGGAGGTGATTACCAACCACAGTGTGATAAACTAAGAATATCAAAAATCTGAAACTCATTTTATGTGCTCCTTGTGTTAATTAAAAGGTGGCAATGCATCATCTTTTTTAAAAGAAAAAAAAACAGACCCATTCCAAACGCAACATTTCTAGAAAAGATTGTAAAAAGGTTTGTCAGCCAACCACCTTGATAAAAATGTTATCAATCCATCAATCTGGTTTCACATAGCATCACAGCTACCCTGAAAGTGAGAAACGATAACTCTGGCTTTTTGGATACATGGCAGATCTGTGCTGCAACATTGATTGGCTTGATCCCATTTATAAAGCTAAACAAACAAAAAATATATAGTATAGTTCCTCACGGCTCAATCTTAAACCCACTAATATTTTATATAGACTGCACATTTAAATTAGGTTTGTCTAATCATCCCAAACGCAACGTATAGGTATGCGTGTTCACAGTTGAGGGGTGAGCAGTGGCTATTTGCATGAGATGGGCTATGTGCCCAGTCAAAACAGGCCGAGTTGATTGAGGCCAAAAGTTGTGCTCTATAAGTCTTGGGGTTATTTGACCAAAGAAAGTTTTAAGACCGCTTTAAGCGGTTTCAAATAGTGACAAAAGAAAAATGTCTCATTTACAATCATGTGTTAAATACAACAGAATGGAGTCTAAGCAATTCTTCAGGGTTCTCCTTTCCACCCCCCATTGCTAATCAGTGACTCACGAGGCACACTTTCTGAAGATTGCGCGATTGTTGCTTTCGATACACTATGGGTAATTTAGAAGGCAGGTTTGAACAGGGGGAAGAATGCAAACCAGTCAAACGGACACCTTTCATTCCATTCAAAGGCAATAGAACATGGGACATGTGCTCCTGCTCCTGTGAGTCATTTCTCATGCCTCATCCCACAACATCCTTTTTGCGTCTTTGTTGCAATGCAAAGTGAGCCGACGCTACCTTTCAGCTGCTCCTCCGACTGGACATCGCAGCTGAGAAAAAGGGCTCGATCTTGACTGTCCTCCTTGTTGAGGGCCTCCATCACACTCTTTCCGCCGCTTTCGTTCACGTCCAACAGAACAACCTGGCGAGATGCACGTGGTTATCAGATCAACACTTTTCCCATGACGTCACTGGAAGAGGACTGGAGGTCTACACATTCGTTCCTCAGAGGAATTCATCAATTGATATCGAATTGTTTTATGTCAGAGGGACAAGTCTGCACTTGCCAATGAAATGAATGAATGTGGCTTTGCAGAATCAACAGAGCAGTTTTCACTTGGGCCGCCAAGCTGTCAACTATTCCGGGTCATTCAGCAAAACCATTTTAAAAAGTATTTACGCTCATCTTTGGAAACAGTTAAGCAGTGAGAGATGTTTGAATACCGTCGGGATCGTAGTTGTTTATGAGAGCGGATGTGGGTGTGTGGGTGTGTGTGTGGACTTTAATTCTTCATACGTTATATATTTTGCCCGAAGAAACACACCCGAGAACAGTGTGTATGAAAATACACACACTTAAATCCAGAAAATGTCGTCATGGTAGGCTGTTGTGTAGAACTTATTTGTTAATTTATTCAGTTTCAAAAGGTTCTAACCTAAAATTGGGAGAAATGAAGTGATCCGATTACTTTCCAGATGGACTTTAATTCTTTATACGTGATATATTTTGCCAAAAGAAACACACCCGAGAACAGTTTAAATTTGTAAGTGGGAAGAAGAAACAATCTCTTTGGGAGGTTTTACAAAAATACGGTGTGTGTGATCGTTTTGTTAACCCTTTGGGCTTGTTATCAAGCCAGCGCAGGGAGTAACATTTTTTCGTTGCATTTTGCTTTAGTAAACTTCTACTCCCCAGGGGGATGATAGTTAAAGAAACAGCTTTTTTTTTTTTTTTTTTTGCTTTTTAGTAAGAAGTTAAATCCAAGCTACTGTTCAACTTACAAATGTCAAACAATAAGTCCTACTCGAATAACTGCAGTCTCAAACACCGCAGTTCTCTTTCTTAATGTTTACCTTTGCTCCATTCCTGAAGAGGATCTCGCTGAAGGCTTTGCCGATTCCTGCTGCAGCTCCCGTCACAACAGCTACTTTTCCCTCGAGTGACATTTTACGTGCTTCTGCTTGAAAGAGCGGGTGTCTTGTCTGACTCAAGGTGTGTGCGCGGTCATAAATGGGTGGGTGTACTTGGACTTGTAAGTAATCACATCAGGCACCACCCACAAAGCCAAACTCGATGACTGGAGGATTGCGCACAAGCAAATGCTTGTTTACCTAATTGCTGTCAATCCAAAGCAGTTAGTATTTAAGTGTGACGGGTTTTAAATAATGCCGAATTGATTTAAATGTTTTACATATGTGGAATCTTTTCATGTAATGTAATAATACCGAGCTATGTGACGTCCAGCATCAAAAAACGCATTTTTAAAAACGGAGTTTGGTTCAACCCGTGGGCTCGGCGTGTGCTGTTCCACGAGCAACCCCAAGAGGACGCTAAAACGCCGCAACAGTGATCCCCTTAGTCCTAGTGGACTCTAGACTGCACTCAGACCTTTAAGAATACTAAATCCGCGCCTGCAATGCACTCAGTGGCGTGGAAAGCACACTGCATGCCTGGGGCGAGGGCATGATTATGACGCCTCATCAGAAAAAAAATATCGACGGGGCTCAAGGCACCACTGCAGAAGTTGAATAAAATGTGTGCCTTAATAAATGTTTTAAAACAATCACCCAACATCTTCAAGATGAAAGAAAAATGTTTTCAATTCAAAGTGTAATATAACAGAACTGTACGTTGGCTGTGATTCTGTAGCATACCACTAGAGGGAGACGACTAGCGCTTACCCCACTGGTCTTTTCCATTCTCTTCAATCAGTCGATTACATGGAGCAATGTATTCTGATTAGAACAGCTTAATCTGACTGAAAAGGTTGAATCCGAATGGTATTTCATTCGGATTCACAGGGGTGGTACACTATTTTTGACAATGTGAACGCACGTCAGGTTGACAGTTTAATCAGAATAGCCAAACTGCGTCCAGTCCGCCCATGCTTGATGTAAATAAATAGACGGAACTTATCAAGATGTTGCCTCAATAAAAGTGTATCACAACTACTATGCTCAAAAAAGACAGCATAAAATCATCTTGATAAATCGCGTGATGTTTACATCGATTTCCGCATGTCACACAGCTGATCTGTTTACCTGAGTGGAGCATGTCAACGGCGGATTGGAAAAGATCACGTGGCATGTGACCAGAAATCTTCAATCAAATCGAAAAAAAGTCGCCATGTAAAGCCGGCTATTGTATTAACCATAATTATGATTAGCAGTCAAGCAGTCATGAGGTTAATTTCAGTGAGGTCACATCAGGGTACACATGTGCTCATTTGCATATGTTTGCGAGGAGGGTCGTTGGATCTGAACTCCTATCAGCTTCTTTCAGGGAGGACACTCCCTGACACTAAACTCTCTCTGCAAGTGTTGCGTACACACACACACACATACACACACACACACACACACACACAC